TGTAATAATAAATGCGATATATTCAGCCAATTTCAGCCAATGGGTAAATAAAACAGGAGTATTGAGGAATTTATCCCTTCTTTCAAGCCCCTGGGGGCTCACCTCAACTCCCTCCTCGCCTCCACATTCATCAATTGCCTTTTGTTTTCTTAGTCTCTCAGTCGGTGATCGTCGCCCCAACACAGGTTGTAAGAGATGCTCATGCTCTCAGGTATGGCTCTTTTGTGTACTGTACACAATACAAGTGGCATCGTCTTACCACATTGTCGCGCTGTGCTGTAAAAATTCTGCCAAGAGCTGTGCAAAAACAACCTCCAAATATTCCTTTATTACTGTTTTAGGCTACTTCTGTCAATTTTAAAAATTTTTACAGGAATTAAATGGTATGCAAGTAAAGCAAATTCCCTAACCCAATGTAAGGAATTTATGACAATGAAAATTTTCACATCAACATGAATGCTCCAATAGCGTGTTGTGCGTATAAAATTTGCATAGCGTCTTGTGCTACATTGCACAAGATGAATAGCGTCATATGGATTGCATAGCGTCTTCTGCTACACCATAGTTTATTTACTAGCTGCAAACGGATTAGTTTGTAATGATTTTATTCGATATTTAATTTGAAGTCCTTCCATAAACATCAATCGCAATATTAAGTGCGAGAAATTTCAAATCATAAAATATGGTAAAATTATGGAGAGATTTTCAGGCAGTTTGTTGATTTGGTTGTCACCTCAGCCTCCACAGAAATTCGATAGGTAAGGGTATAAGGGTATCTGTTTTCCCCTCCGAGCTCACTCTCTTGTCACCATCTATCCACCACATTTGTAAACAAGCTTGTGTTGTGAACCTGGCAGAAATTGGCAGTCTTTTTTGGTCGTCCGTTGACAGGATGGTACTTTAAACCCTACTCCTCGCTCCTCCTTCCACACCCAAACACAGAATGCCACTCTACATTCATGCCTATGGTCCATTTGAGTGTAGAATGTTAATCTTGAAACGTTAAAAAAAGCAACAGTGTAGCAGTTTAAAATTATTGGTGCCTAAAAAGCAGTGAAAAGGTTAGAAAAACGCCAGTGAAAATGAAAGCTTATACTGTAATCACTAACCATGTACAATGTACTGCTGCTGGTAATTCTAATTCTTGCCAGTTCTTTTTCTTCTTCAGCGGCCATTTTCATGTTATCCACCGCTGTTTCCGACCATAGCTTACTGACACGTTTTTCATATTTATGAAATGTCTTTTGAGAAAGAAAAGGAATGCCAAGTGCACCTAAAAACTCTGCTGTCTGGGTTTTGCCAATTTCTATTGAAAGGGCACCAGATACCGCAGAGTAGTTGGCTGAATGCATTCCGTGTTCATCTTTTTCTTCCTCACTTCATATTCTCATTTTCAATTTACACATTGAACACTGAAATTCAAAACTTCCGGAGAGTCCTTTTCGTATTTCTTTTACGAAAATAAAATTGTAGAATGAGCACGTGTTAGTATTATGCAGTGCCATTCTACACACATCCGTAAATAGCGTTTTCACATCAAAGATCCTCCTTCCAGATAACGTCTCTAGCGTTTTTTCAAATTGCCCTAGGATATCATTATTTGTAGAAAAGTGATCATTCGCAACATCCACGTCGCATGGTTCCATCATTACGTTTTTCTTGGTGTTTTCATCGAGGTTTGAATTTAATGTTTGATCAATATTTTCGACGATACTTTTGCTTGTGAAGGTATTTTGTAGACTTTTCAGAAGCTGTTGCTGTTTTCTGCAAACCAAACAAAGGGGAAAAATTTTACATCTAACAATAAAAATATAATATGGAGCACGAAAGCAACCATTTACAATTACGTTTTAATGCACATTAAAAGTAAACTGAAATTATTATGTGAATTTTCAGTGCTTGTAGCAATAAATTGTAACAATCATCAGGTTATTCACATATTTTTCAATACGAGTATCGAATGTTATGAATCTTACCTCCATCTTTTCAATTGGAGTCCTTTATTAATCCGTTTTGATGAGAGACACAGCCTCGGACTTTTAAGTTGCTTACGAGAGAACCGCATGTTCTCACTAGTATCGCCACTGACAAACTAACAACAAAAGTTTGTTATTCAAACGTCTGAGCCCTTTAAAATCTCCATCCTAGAAACACTTCTGGGAGGAGATTGAAGGAAAAGGGCAAGGGAAGAGGGAGGTCCCTCTTGAAGCGCCAACTGACTAATTGGCATCCCGTGGCCCTTTTAAAGTACTGTACGACAATCAAGCGATGGTGAAACGACTGTCAGGAATACAAAATTTAGATGGATACAATTATTTGAAATAATATGATCGTTCATGTTGTAATAAATGACAACTTAATAATAAATTGTGCTGTTTATGCATTCATTCTCTTCATATCTTAAAACATAATTACGATTATCTCTTCGTAATCTGTACAAAAATTTTAGCGCGACCTCCATTTTATTTGGAAGGAAGAATCCATTACAACAAAAATCGAAGTGGAAAGGAAACCGCTCTGAATAAAGCCTTCATTAATTCAGAACTCTGTTCATGGGAACACGCATCGTAGCTTTAAAAATTATATATCTAGATTTTACTCTTTCATTATCATATGAATCATCCTATTACAATCACAATAATAATAATTTGAATCAGTAATTCAGTATGACAGTAAGTCAGTGGGCCGAGTCTGACATTAATATTAAAAAATTATTAAGCGATGGCAAAGTATTGTTGAGGGCTCCTTTTAATCATGAAATTTTTTTACAGAAGTAGAATGATATGAACTTAAATACATTTCTTAGCAGTTTGTAATGAATTTCTGACATTTAAAATTTCAAGATCGGCATGAATGCTCCCATGATTGCATAGTACCATATGTGTTTAGAATTCAATATGCTATATTCTAGCTCATTTAATTCAATAATTTGCATTAAAATAATCGTTCGTGTGGTAGCAAATGGGAAATTTTATATTAAATTGTGCCGTTTATGCATTCATTCTCTTCATATTTTAAAACATTATTTCGATTAACTCTTCGTAATCATCCTAACGCATGATGCTCATTTACGATCACCTTAACAACATTTTCATATTATTGACGATGCATGGAAACGTGCATTGTTAGTTTAGACCCGTTAAAAGACTCCGCAGCTTCAGACAAGGGCTTTGAAAGCTGATCGAAAGGAACTGCGAAGAGAAGAGGGAGGGAAGAAGGAATGTTTACCTTGAACGACAGAAGATTTATTGCCAGAGAGTAGGCTGCGCCAACACCCGGTACGACAATGGGTCAGGTCTTGCTTAAATCTACGGAATCTTCACTCACCACTAATAATGTCGACTAATATCTAATGCTAAGAGAATGATTCAAAAATGCTTTGTGTAGAGATCAATGAAGAATAAATAGTTAATTACCTTGTGTCGCGAAAATGTTAGAAAATGTTGTCGCGCTAGAAAAATTCGCTCATTTTACGATCTTCATATGGTTTAAAATTTTTGTTCGTGATAAAAGTAATAATACATAGTTTACATAATATATCTTACTTTTCGTTAATTGAAAATAATTAGCCAGATCACCATTCCAAATTTCAGACTTGTATCTTATTTAGGAGGAGAGTTATTGGTTGCCTTCATTGTTAATAACCCTCATAGGGATTAACGCGCCTGGCGGCCGCTCCACTGGCCTCTTAAGTAAGCTAACCCTTACCCTCCTTACCTGCGTGGACTGGACACCTTCCGAGCGACACCGTCATCAAGAAAGAAGAGCAAGAGGCTATGACTGCGATTATTGTCTTTGCTTGTATCTGTTGGTGTGTATTAGATCTCCTTCAGAGATACCATGTCTTTTTGGCTTAGTACCAGCCATATTAGCGTTAAACCTAATAGTCCTCGTAAATTCATACTATTGTTGTTCTGACAGCTTCTCTTTTGATTGCGTACTGAGCTAAAGCTCTGAAGTTGAAGTGAAGTAATAATAGTAGACACTAAATAATTAAAACGATGGTCACCTATCGAATCAAAATTTATTGGACCTTGATTGGCCTAATTTAATGAATGATGAAATAAGATATCGATAACTCATTCTGTTGGGATTGAGAGTTGTGATTATTGTTAAGAAATTCGTAGAAATCCTACGTATTAGTTTTGCTCCTTAATTAATGAAGCGAGGGCACTTCTTCCTTCCAGGGGGGACGTGTCAGGTTGTATTCCTATGATGTCATTAGTCTCTCTTACGTCACCTTCTGTGATGTCACTATTCGCGGGTCTCCGCGTATATAAGCTCATCAAACCAACCGCCAGTCTTAGGCGGTAGTCATAACCATTTGTAAAATGGTAGTCATAACCATTTTTATAGCGTCCACTGGACGTCGCCTGACTCCGGCGTCCTCCTGATCGTCGTTTGTAACCACCAATACTAAACTACCTTGTGTAACTTACCACCCAGCTTCATCCTGTATTCCTATCTAGTTCTTAATATACTTTAGAATACGCGCCTCTCAATGATCCTGCATCTATTCGGACAAACTATGAACCCTTGGACCAACAGAAGATGTTCCGGTGATTTACCAACGATAGAACATTGATATAATTAAATAAAACTTATTTTAAATCATTGGGCACGTCAGGCCAATACCTTGACATTGAAGGGGCGTTAATTGCAGGTAATGATATTATTATTACCGGTAATGATAATATCATTACCAATGATAGTGACACAATAAGTGCCCCGACACGTAAACAGCGAGGCATTAAGTTACCTCAATGACTTAACATGATACACAGTATTTGTCACATGTTAATTTTAATCTTATATTCATATGTTCGTGCGACTATTTCAGCATTAATTAATATAAATGATTCATAAAGCCAATTTTATTTGAACCTCGGCACGCAAGATCATTACACACACTTAGCCATCATATTTATTTGATACCTACGCCGACTCATGATGTAATGATACACACACTTACTGACTCATTACATCAACCGTGTACTCACAATGCTTCTCATCACTCCAGTCCCCGCAGTGGGTCCAGCCGTCGCATTCATTACGCTTGTGGATGCATCTGCCGTCGCCACATACGAAGTGGTCACCTTTGCAGCCTGCGATAAATTAAAGAAGCCGTGAATTTCAGGCTAACAAATTAATGTAAAAAACTACTTTTATGCAGGGTGATCGAGTTTCTTGAACGCGAGGCGAGTAATAATATATATGGGATAAGAAGGTGATGTATGTGTTTATAATACCGCATCAGGAGTGGTGGAAAAGTTTCAATGTGCAATGGTTTCAGCGGGTCAAAACTTCATATGGAAAGAAAATTAGGCCCCAAAAGAGGTTAAACTCGACAACTCAACTTCAGTCATAGCATGCTTGCGAAACATTGAAACAATTCAATAGTGAAATGTTACAATTGACTGCAGCCAAGGAATTATTCATTTATATTCAAGAAATAACTTAATATTAAGAGCGCAAGCAGATCCTCATATTAAATCGAAATACCGACAGTAGAATTGCGCGGAAGAGTTCGACTCATCAGTCAACTCACAGTCGCGCTCGTCGCTGTCGTCGCTGTCGTGACCACAATCGTTGCCTCCGTCGCACCGCAGCACGTCGCGTATGCAGCGACCGTTGGCGCACTTGAACTGATCAGAGCGACACACGTCTGCAATCACAAGTAATGCGGTAAAGAATTTTCAGAACCTAATTTAAAAATTCTAATGTGTGTATTAATTTTTTCGTGTTCAGCAAGTGCTTGTTCTGTTTTATTATTTTTTAATTATTGATACCATTAATTTAATTAATTTTTAAAAAAAGTTGATTTATATCGAGGATAGGATGAATTCTTTTGGGCGTATATATCGTTCAATAGCCTGTTTCCTTAGTATTAGCCTTGCACGGTCTCCCCCTTCTCTCGTTGCGATGTGTCTCAATCGTGAAGGTCTCGCTCTCGAAGTTTGGCGCCCTTCCGGTTAATATCTTCCATGTGTACAGAATGACATGCCTCTCCCGTCTCCTCTGCAGTGAGTACAGACCCAGGCACCTTAACCTCTTCCAGTAGTTCAACTCTTCCATCCTGGAACTTCAACTCTCTCTGATCTGAACTCTTCCTCTGATCCTGGAAGTGAAGGTTCGCTGGACCCCTTCCAGTTGCCGCACTGCGCCGAGTGTGAACGAGGTCCAGAGATGGCAGCAGTATTCAAGGATTGGTATTACAAGGGCTCTAAAGAGTGTTGATCATTGGTTCCGCTTCTCTTGTCTTGAACGTTCGCCAGATCCACCCCATTTGTCGCCTACATCTTGCGGTTATTGCTATTATGAGATCACCAAAATTTACCTGAGTATTCATCAACACTCCTAGATCGTGAACGATTCGTTTCTCTTCGATTTCCGAGTTGTCAGGTGCTAGGTAGCGGTGCTCCATATACCCGCTCTTCCACTACCTCTGTATCTCATAACCTCAAACTTGGTCCCGTTGAACTGCATGTTGTTCACTTGGGCCCAGTCATATATGGCAGCGAGGTCTTCTTGCAACCTTTCGCAGTCTCTCCTGTCCGTTATGGTCATTAGTATCCTGGTTTCGTCCGCGAATGACGATGCAGAGGCGTGGTTCACTGCCACATCTATGTCGGCGATGTGATTGAGGAAGAGGATACAGCCGAGTGCCGTTCCCTGTGGTGCTCCACTCTTTACCCTAGCCTCACTCGATCTCGAGCCTCCTACAACGACAGCTTGTAGTCTTTCTGTTAAGAAGCTGTGGATCCATGCCAGCAATTCACCTCCGACCCCCAGCAATATTAATTTTCTGAAGAGCACTCCATGGTCAACTTTGTCAAACGCTTTCGTGAAGTCAAATACACCACGTTCATCCCGGCCCCCTTCTCCAGCATGGCCAGGATTTGGTGGTGATGCTCCAGTAACTGAGACAAGCAGCATAAGCAACGCTTTCGTCTAAAACCGTGTTGTCTTCTGTTGAAAAGGTTTGCCTCCTTTATGTACTGCACCAACCTTCTGTCAACAACCTTCTCAAATACTTTGATTACGTGTGATGTTAATGTAACTGGCCTGTAATTTTGGGGATTGTCTCTCGCACCTCCTTTGTAGATTGTCTCTCGCACCTCCTTTGTGTCTCGCACCTCCTTTGTACCTCCTTTATTAGCCCTAGTTTTAGGTCTCTTGGAACATTTCCTTCTCTCAATGATGTTTTCCAGAGCAAAGTCAGTGGGACCTTTAGTGTACCGACACATTTTTTCAGTAGCACTGCAGAGACCCCATCTGGCACGTGAGCCGAATACGTCGATAATTCGTGGAAACTCCTCTCTCTATCCGGCTTTTCAAACTCAATGTTCATCAGCTCCCGCCCCCTTGGAAGTTCTTGAATGACTCCAGTTTTGTTCTCCTGTCATGAGTATCGGGGTTCGCTGAATACTTTTTCAAACAGCGCTCCCAGAAGTTCGCACATGCCCTGGTCGTCTCCAATAAGGACATCGTTATTTTTCAGAGGCCCCACTGAGGTTCTAATTTTGGCCTTTGACTGGGCATATTTGTAGAAATATTTGGGATTCTCTCGAATGGCAGACACTCAACGCAAAACCCCAAAAAACCCTTATCAGGCGAAGAGAGTTGCGCCTCCAATCAGGCGAAGTGAGTAGCGCCTCCGCAACTTGTTGCTCGGCCTCGTGTGAGTCCTGTAACTGCCGTTCAGGTTCCTCAATTTTCTACCTTAGATGTTCCAGCCTCCGCCTTTCCATATTCCTGAAGGCGGGCATTATCTGGTTGTTTAAGCTTGCTCGTTTCTTCATGAAGATCCGTCTGTCCCTCGGAATTATGTGCCGTTTTGAGGGTCGTTTTTCCCGGCGTGTGACGCACGCATACCTGCAGTAAAACTTCGCACAGCTTGTTGCACATTGCTTCGGCGTTAAACTCCAGGAACTCAGATCTCCAGTAAATTTCGAGGAGTTCGTTCCCAGTGGCTTCCCAGTCTGTTCTCCGATGATGAAAATTTAGCCCAGCTAGCCCCTCTCGAGATGTAGGTCTTGGCTGGCTTCCCCTCTCAATTGTTGTCTCGACCACCATTAGTCGATGGTCTGATAGTGTGGTCTCCTCAACACGAATATCAGCAACCAGTTCTTCATTGCTGGTGAAGAATAGATCCAGGATATTATGTTCTCTTGTTGGTACCAGCACCTGTTGACTTAGCAAGTGCTCCGTAGCGAATCGAAGTACTTGTGTTGCCTGGTTTCTGTACTGATCTCTGCGCCGTTCTAAACAGTCAAAGTGTAGCCATCGCATGTGAGGAAGATTAAAATCTCCCGCAACCACAATATTTGGAAGTTCACCTAAGTTGGCCACCTCTGTTATCTTGAGAGTTTCATTGAATTTTTCCGGCGGGCAGTCAGGCGATCAGTATATGATGGCTATGCACAGTTGGAGATGGGAGATGTATAGTATTACATGTTCCACATATCCATTGGAGCCTAAATACAGGGGACTATCTTTGCCGCTAGGGAGTTTCTGAGTTATACTATATCGCCTCCTTTTCTCCTCCCTTCTTTTCGGTCTGCTAGGTAATGTTGAAAGTCTTTCATCTGGATTTCTCCATCTTGGATATCCTCTCTTAGGTGGGACTCTGTTAGGGCAAGCATGATTATTTCTTCTGTCTCAGCAATTTCTCTGAGTACGCCGATCTTGCGGCGCTTTTTTTTCGGAAATAGCCCCTTTATATTGGCTATCATGATGCTAGACTCTTCCCTTCCTTGCGTTCTTAGTTGCTGTAACACTGCTCTGCCAGCGGTCTCTGGCTCAACAGTTGTTGCATTTGTTGCTGTGATTTTTGCTGTTGTTCGTGCAATGTCAGCAGCTGCTGCATTTGTTGAATCTAATCTGCTTCCGTCTGTAGGCCAAAAAAAATTGCTGCACCGAATATCGAGTACTTTTTGTTCTTCTTCACTCCGGTAGGTTGTGCTGGCCTTTGCGGTAATTTTTGGATCTGCCCTGTTCCTCTGAATACGATAGATTCGCCATTCACAAGACTGATTATTTTCAACCGTGTAATTTTTTCTGATGTTTTGAGTTTGGCAGCAGAATCTATCCGGTGTGACGTGAGGGTATCACGGCGGTCAAGAGGATATGGTGAGGCGTATCACGGCGGTCAAGGGTTAGGATAGGCGGAGTACTATGTCGGGCAGCAGTGAGGGAAAGAGGGAGTAGAGGGAGTGAGGGAAGTTGAGAGAGTGAGGGGAGTTGAGGGTAGCCGCGTCTTAGTCGAACAGAGGCCCATTCATGATAGGCCTTCTTCTCTCGAACGCTTGAACTGCTTGTACACTCTCCATGGCTTCTTTCGCCCACCCCTCGTTCATAACGCATTTTCTACACATGAATGATGTTCTCGTTTTTAAATATCTTGTAAGTTGGTATCCTGGAAGTAGTGAACATTCGAAGTGATACAATTGCCTGCATGTGTTACATCTTATTGCCAATGGTCCAAAATTACATTTGTTGCATTCCAGACATTCTCCGGCAGGTTTACTAACACAGACTTTGGCTGCCATATTTCTCAATCAATTGATACTCTCACTAACTTTTTACTAACTTTACTTGATTCCAGACTATTCCCAGGACATTTCAGTATAGAATGAGTCAACAGAGTTAAATCGTAATAAATTTCTCCTCAATCAATTGTTACCAGCACTCAATTTTTAATGGCTGTACTCAGTTTTTTTCAATCAATTGTTACTTGCACTCAATTTTAGCTGACTTTACCTATTTCCAGACTATTCACTGGAACACTTCAGTACAGAATGCAATAACAGAGTTATTGAAGGTTTTTAGGCGGACTGCATATGAGCTCATCCCTGAGCGATTGTTTAGTTTTACTAAGATTTTACTGAATGAGAGGAGTGGGGGAAGGGATTACCATTGGAATGTATTGCAGTTACGTACGCATTACCGATGATAACAATGCTGTTACCGAGGGAAAAACAGTTATGCGGAGAAAGAAATTAAAGTTCGGAGCAATGTTATGACAGTTATTTGAATTCAATTCATATTAACCATAAGGAACCGCATCTGGAGACTCAGACTCAACTGCGACTGTAGAAGATTGTTCACCTGCAGCTGCGGTTGCCGCGGCTACCAGGAGCAGCAGCAGCAGCAGCCTGCAGCAGCTGCTCGTGCCCTGCAGTGCAACAAGAGCTGTGAGTGACGTCACCTGAAAATCACTGGTGTTTGCTAACATTCTTGTTATCACAACTGGGAGCATAAAATCAACTTTTACCAATAATTAATCCGATATGATCAGTCAAAATGCATCCCTCAAATGATCGGTCAACAGAAATGCGCCGAAAGGGCAGGCATGCAGCAGGATTCCGTCGAATGACCAGTCAACAAGAACCCTTCAAATGATCAGTCGAAATGCATCCCACAAATGATCAGTCAAGAGCCACCCCGCAAATGATCATTCAACAGGGACCCTTGAAATGATCATTTAGTGCAGATTTAAAAGTGCAAATTTTTTCGGCAGACAACAGCCAAAACTTGAAAAGAACGGAACATATAACATAACATAACATAACATATTGATCTCGGCGCTGAAGTGTAGGCCTGATGTGGCCTGTCGCCGATTCTTTTCCTTTNGTTGTATTATTCACCAGCCTGCAGGCTACAGCATCCTTGTTCGTACTTTTTCTCAGTTTACATACAAGACCGAAGTTTGATGCCGTCAGCCTCTTTCTTCTCTCTTCGTGCCACAACAGGGAATTACTTTGTTCAACGGTTGAGGTTCCCAGGTTTTTAATTTGATCATCATCCAAGGACAACGTCTTCAAAAAGTTCAATTTTGTCTTCCGTGACAGATGCAAAGGCATTGATTTCGTAGTCGTAACTAAGAGGAATTTTTTTCTACTTAATTTACGCTCATGTTCGCTAAAAAGCCGCTTTCTAGCAGTTGCATGTTGATGTTCTCGCTGAGCTTCCATTTTTACAATTAGCTTGTTTGGAGATTTTCGCGGGAGTTTCTCACTTATTTGTTTTGTGAATGCAATTGACCACTGTTGTGGACGATTACTGCCCCAAGTGCTCTGGTTTCGAAGCTGTTAATCAAGCTGAAATTGATTCTTTTACCGCAATTTAAATTGGAAACTCGGCTGTTATAATGTTCTACACGGTTACTGTCCAAATCATGCAGTAGACTCTCTGCATGGTCCTTCACTCTATTTAGTATTTTCATTATAGCCTGAAAAATTCCAGTTTTTTCGAGATCAGGACAGTAATTGTCATCACTTTGGTTTTTACAAAAATAATTGCCTGTTATTGAGCACCTCGCATGATCGCCGAACACATGTCTGGCACTGTTCAAAATGTTTGTACGCAATCCGCAGATTCTTTCCGTTTCAGTTGTATCAGTCAGATTTTTGTGATGTTTGATTGCACATGTTATGGCACTGACCAAGCGTTGCACACGTCCTTGGACCAATTGTCTTTGTTCTGCGGAACCGAGTTTGGCGGCGCCTCTAGACTTATAGACATCTTCGCTCATAAACGACCATGACGCTCATAGACCAGACTGCGAAGTGGGCAGGGAAAGAAGAGTGCATGTTTACCTTGAAAGGAAGATTTATTGCCTGCGCCTGCAGGAATGTGTATCAACCAAAGGTCTGGTCGTGCTTTAATCTACGTAAGTTTCACCTATCTTTGGGATTCTAAAGCATATATCTAATACTAGAATAATAATTCAGAAATGTTTGGGGTAGCGATCAATGAAGAATAAATAGTTAAACCGACGTATATCGAGAAAATGCTAGAAAAGTCACACGCTATACGAACATCGGGGTGCATAATTTTATCCTCCCTGATAACAGGCGAAATAAAAAGTTTACATAATTTATCTTAATGCCTGCGCATTGACAATAATTAGCCAGGACAGCATTCCAAATTTCAGACTTGTATCTTATTTATGAGGGGAGTTATTGCAGTTCTAAATAGTTATAAAACTCCGTAAGCGACTATCGCGGCTGAGCGCGTCCACGGGGCTCTTAAATCAACTTACCAATAGTGATAATATAACTAATTGAATATATCATGCAATAGTGATTAAACACACGTACGACATTCACATGCTTTACAGTTTTCATCGTTGGTGTTTTGTTGCCTCGAATACAGAGGCGGTTTTGAAGTCGTATTAGTTATGAAACATACCGCAGTTCGATTACAGTCTGTTTTACTGGTGAGCCAGGAAAAAGATCATCGACAGTTAATTAAAACTTATTCATTATTTCTAATGTATATAAAAAGTGTGCTAAAAGATTAACCTGGAGCTTATTATATCATAGACATGATTTTAGCAAAATAAGTTACGTAACAATTCTATTTCTACCTATCCCAAATAAAGTCAAGTATTGATTATTGGCGGTGCGAGGAATGCTTAAACACCAACACCTCGTACAACGTCGATCAATTTTTCATGCTACCAGTAATGCAACCCTGCGACAGCACGCGACCTACAAGTTGTGATTGTAGATGATGGAGATTCTAAACCTTCCACAAGTTTAATTATTCTTCTCGAAAGAATAACAGAAATAAATGATATCAAGAAAATGTAGGCACATGAGTGCCTTTTCAGCCATGATGTAGAAAGTTAGGTTAAATGGCTTATTTTAATTTGCAATGCATACGCGCTACGTGGTCAAGTGGACTAAGGCTTCGCGCGGCTTCGCGCGGTCTGCTGCGAGCCCGGGTTCGAATCCTGCTACGGTCGGCTACGGTTCTGCCAGCGGAGAATCGGAGATAAGTGAATTTATAGGGTTTCAAATAATATGTCTATATCTAATAATGCAGCTAATTGTAATAATATGCACATAAAATGTAACTGTCACGATTAAACATGTATACCTAAATCCGGTCATATCTCGACATGAAAGGACACGTTCAGAGAGCTGCGTTGTGAAGAGCCATGTAGGAATTTCAATAAATATGTCATTTTATACAGCAATCGATGCCATGTATTTTCTTCGGAGTTGTTACCCCGTAATATCACTAAGGGCGCGTTAAAATCCTAGGCTATATATTGCATACGAATTATTACATTTGTATTGTTGAGTAATTAATTTGAATTTAAATTTATCTCAAACGCTTACAAATTCAGCATTTGAGACATAGCAATAGTGGACGCGATACTCATATTGTGGTATTCCAATAAAATGATGTTCTTCCGGCAGTCTTTCTCCCATCCTATGCGCTATTGCCGCCGCTATATTATATTTGGTGTTCTCCTGCACAATACTGCATGCATGAAAGCGTCGGCGGTAAGTTCACAGAGGCTTTCTATTTTTAAGCGCTAAAAGTAGCTTTTAATTACGCGCTCCGGCTGGCTGAGGGGCGTTTTAGAAGCCATCGGCAACTCATTTTGGGACAAGCCGGGATAGTCACTTTGGTGCGTAGTTTCTACGCACCGATTTGTTTCAGTGTGACCGCAACGTTGCCCCTCCCCTCTTCCATTTAAATCTCTTGAACAAGAGGCAATTAACTGTTAAAAAACGAGTTTGCCGGAAATATCCTCAGGGCAAGTGCGATTGGAGGAATAAAAGAATTAACTGTAATTATTCTCACCCTAAGATCTGTCACTAATTTTCAACATTTGGAAGCAAAAACCAACGCTGATGCAAAAATGGGAGTGACTGTCAATACTACCATCCGTTCTTGTGCTGGAATTCTATAAAAAATATAGCTTGCAAACGAGATATTTGTCGGTTTCATCACATTAAACTCAATTTGCAGGGGAGTGGTTTTCAGATGTTCCTCTCTTCGATCTATATATACGAGTTGTTGCTATCATTGATATGATCGTTAGTTTAATCTATAGCCTATCAAATTATTAGTTGTCTTTTATCGTCAATTTATTTATCAATTTTGTAGTTTTAATATAGTTATCAGTTGTTTCTACCGACGATATATTTATCTGTAGTTTCTGTCATCAATCTACTTGTCCGTTTTCTCCTAATCTAAATTTAATAATGAATTGATTCCTTCGACGATTTAGATATCAGCTGTTCTCTATCGTCAATTTAGCCAACAGATTTATCTAGCGTCTATTTAGTTATGAGTTCTTTATATCGACAAATAGTTTTAAGTTTTCACCATCAATATGGTTATCACAATCTACCCTCTATCTAGTTATCAATTATCCACCCACCTCTTAATTATGTCACCATGGATATCCCCTTCTCAACCCGACTTGAGAAAAATAGGCTGTTTTGACCGGTGGTCAGCTGAAGCCTAAATCCCTCTGTACATTAATATTATGATCTGTTGCGCTTATGCAATCGATACAAAATAGACAAGCTGCACTCGTTATGAGAAGGTTGAAGCATAGCGATAGTTGGCTTGAAGAAGCACGTCGGGTCAAGTAAGCAGGTTCCGAAGCTGCTCCAAGCCTCACATGCTGACGGACAAGTTTCCGCATATTTGTATTAAGCGCAGCTGGTCGGGAGCCACGTGTGAATGTCGCGAGATTTCCGTGATTCGCTAGACGCGCTAAACAATAATACAACAATAAGAAAATTATTATTTACTTAAAACTACATCGTCGGCACATATGAGCAAACTTTCAAACTTGATTGAAAGTCATTAGCGATGGAAGTAAATATTGTAAGATGAGTTTCTTGATGGTCAGTGGGATATCGCAACGTTGTGGTAACTTATGTTTGCGCTCAAGTGGATTCAAGATTACGCTCAAGTGTTTGCGCCCAAGTGGTTGAAGCTCAGGTAATGTATGAATGGGGTAATGCATTTATATGATGTGTTCACGGTAATATAGGCAAGGTAATATAGAATAGATGGATGAAAGAAGATTAATGTGGAAAGAGGGCAACGTAGAAAAAGGTAATAGAAAAACAGGGTATTGCAGGCAAGGCAAAACAGTAATAGGGTAACGTAGGCAGGGTTATGGAAAATTGGGTAAGAATAAAGAAACATAGGAATTGGCACGGAGTGTAATCGCAGTGCAGTAGCAAGCAGCCTGCGCAATATTCGGTGTTGCATGTTTACTTTCAGGAATCCCAAACCAGACCAGGTTGGCCTTCCTACGTTCTCTATCAAGCAATTCACGTGAGCTTTCACTAGCGACTTTAGATAAATCAGCTGTCTTGTTCTTTACTTCCATTTCTTCCGTATTTTTCAACT